AAAAAAAAAAAAAAAAAATTCTAAATTCAAAATCTTATAATAATTCCAAATATAAAACCTGATAATAAAAATTTGCAGCACATCTATGAGTATCTATTTAGAAAGGGTGTAATAAATATAATATACACCATATACGTAAGTATATATGTATTTTTTAAAAAAAGCAAAATATATCCACGAAATATATTAATTTTTTCAATTCCATGCGATGTGATTCTTTTTTTTTTTTTTTTTGAAACCTGCAACATATACAAATAATAATTGACTTGTCCATATTACATGTAGACCCAATTTCTTTTTTAATTGAAAAACTGCTATACTATAATTTTTGGTTTGTTCCTTCTATGTATGGCGTCATATCCTTATGTTTAACGTTCACATATTTTGATTTTGATTAATCTATAATAATCTTTTAGCCTTCGGTGATATTAATAATAAAATCCATGTACATAATTTTTTAAGTGAAATTTGAGGTAAATAAGAGCAAGATATGTTTTTCGAAAGATTTTTTTCAAAACTTGTACAATATTTATTAATATATTATGTAACAATTTTATAAAACAGATACAGACAATCACTTATTTTTTCAAATACATATAACATTTAAAATAAATTTGAATTTAGTATTTTTAAGAGGTGATTACAATATAATTAATTATTAAATATTATTAATATATTTTTTACATTTAATTTCATCTAATTTTGTAAAGTAAATGATATTTTTAAAATTTAAGGCAATTAATAAGTAGATAAATGAATGAGAAATTCAAATTAGCGAATATTTTTAAATTTGTGTGCGATCTCAAAAAAATATATATACCAATATTTTGTGTGTATATCTTGAAATGATACACACAAAATCACCTTAAAAGCAGTATTAAGTTTATTTAACTGCTTAATATGTTATTTAGTTTAACGTTTATTATTTTAAAAATAACGTAATATGATCGTTTAGTCCAACATTTAGTTTTAAAAAATAATCTTAATATACTTATTTACTTAAATATTTAACTTCAAAAAATAATTTTAATATTACTTTCCCGTGTGTCGCCCAGAATATCAAGATATCAAATCGCAAAATGCAAAATGAAAAAAAAAAAAAAAGAAAAAAAATGATTTGTACCGAAACAAGAATCCTAATAAAAGTAGTTGTGAAACATTTGGTCCACAATTTGATTCCACTCGAACCTTAATAAGTAGTTGTGTTCACTTACATGGTTACATTCAACTCCACAATTTGATAAAACTCAAAGCAGAATGCTAAAGTTCAAATTGTACCTTTCAGTAATCAACTATTTCATAATATTTTAGAGAACTTGAAGAAGAAAAATCAAATAGAGAGAGAAAACATTATATACGACAAAATCAATATATATTAATTTAATGTAATTACACGATAACACTAAAGTGTTTGATTTTTTGCAACAATGTTCCCTTGCAATATACTCCTCCGATCTCCGTCTCCTTAAGAAATCCCTCACTCAGCGACTGAGAGCCACCCGCCACCGGATTTATCAACCACCACCATTTCTTTAACCCACCGGGAAAAAAAACCCTCTTCGCATCTCAGCAAAAGAAAAAGGTAAAAACGAAAAATACCCTCATTTTCCGTTCGCATTTCGGCACACTTTTGATGATTCACCGTACGATTTAGGACAGAAATCTACTCCGATGGTGGAATCGGCAGCGGCCCCCGGCGGCGGCCACCGCCTCCGCCGCTGGATCCCCACCTCCGTCGCCTCCGTGCTCACCCTGAAACCCCTCCTGATCGCCTTCTGGATGGTTTTCCTCTTCACCGTCTTCTACTGGCAGCGGGACGCCGCCGCCCCCGGCGGCGGCGTGCTGGTTTTCCGTCGTGCGCCCCCTCCGCCGCAGCAGAGGGAGCTTCCCAGGCTCCGGCCCGCGGTGTTCAACCTGACGGATTTCGGGGCCGTTGGGGACGGGGCGACCCCCAACACGGCTGCGTTCGAGGCGGCCGTGATGGAGATCTCGAAGCTCGGGAAGAGGAGCGGCGGCGGCCAGCTGAACGTGCCGCCGGGTGTTTGGCTGACGGCGCCGTTCAATCTGACCAGCCACATGACTCTGTTTCTTGCTGAGGGTGCTGTTATTCTAGGGATTGATGTGAGTATTTCAAAATTTTCATGTTAAAAGATTTGATCTTTATGTCTGAATGAGATCTAATCTTTGGTACTTTCAGCCAAAAAATTCACAATTCTTTTTCGAAGAGTTACCATATAGTAAATGTTTAAATTGATGGAAAATTAGATACTATGGATTAATTGTGACCTGAGTTATGTAGCTACTGTTATGTGTAAGGAACAAAGGTTGATTGCATTGTTCTCATTATATTTTCAAATGGCAACTACAATGTTTCAAATGATGCTCGATATCTGATCTCGTGTTTCGGTGTTTGGCTTCATTGATATCGTATGTTTCCAAATGCTCGTATTGTGTAGGACGAGAGGCAATGGCCTCTAATGCCTCCCTTGCCGTCTTACGGATATGGGAGAGAACACCCGGGACCTCGATATGGCAGTTTAATACACGGACAAAATCTCAAAGATGTTGTCATTACAGGTCCACGATTTTAGAAATTTCTAGTACTTATGCGCGTTTCAACTCAGTATGTCTATTTTGATCATGGTGTAGTTAGATTGTTGTCGTCTAATATATAACGGCCCATGTAGGTCATAATGGCACCATTAACGGGCAAGGTCAAACGTGGTGGAAAAAGTATAGGCGCAAGCTTCTCAACCACACAAGGGGACCACTCGTCCAGATTATGTGGTCGAGCGACATTATAATATCTAACGTCACGTTAAGTGATTCTCCCTTTTGGACTCTTCATCCTTACGACTGCAAGAACGTGACTGTAAGAAATGTGACCATTTTGGCACCCATCTTTGAAGCTCCAAATACCGATGGCATAGACCCCGGTAAAGTCCATTTCTTATATATATATATTTATATATATTATATAATATATATATATATATATATATATATATATATATATATATATATATAAGCTAAAATAATTGCAATATTGCATTTGGGCATTATTGGTGAAATGCTTGAGATGTTGAAGTTGTCTGAAATCCTCTAATAGACAGGTCTCTCACCACACTTTGGGTATTAGATTAGTATTTTTACATTTTCGAACAAGGTACTATGATTCTTGGCTTATAAATGACCTACTCGGCTTGGTTAAACAGATTCATGTGAGGATATGGTGATCGAGGATTGTTACATAAGCGTTGGTGATGATGGTGTTGCTATAAAGAGTGGTTGGGATCAATACGGTATAAGTTACGGCCGACCTTCCATGAATATACTAATTCGAAACCTTGTTGTTCGATCCATGGTCAGGTAAGATACTATTATTTGTAGTCTCGAATAATAAGAGAGATAGATTTTCATTCTGTAATGTAATGTGCTTGCTGACATAAAGTAGTAGATTCTTGAAAATAAAGGGGAAAACAGATTTCATATAAAATTTCATAAATTGCTCGTTACAGTGCTGGAATATCGATCGGCAGCGAGATGTCTGGCGGTGTTTCAAACATCACGGTCCAAAACGTGCACGTGTGGAATTCCAGGCGGGCTGTGCGGATCAAGACTGCCCCCGGCAGAGGCGGCTACATAAAACACGTGACCTATCAAAACCTAACATTCGACAACGTTCGTGTGGGCATAATCATCAAAACTGACTACAACGAACATGCTGACAAGGATTTCGACCCGAACGCTAATCCCGTGATAGAGGACATAAGTTACACGTCTGTACATGGAGAGGGCGTGCGGGTCCCAGTTCGCATACACGGGAGTCCCGAGATTCCTCTGAAAAACGTGAGCTTTAAGGATATGTCGGTCGGGATTACTTATAAGAAGAAGCATATTTTCCAGTGTGCTTATGTCCAGGGCCGTGTGGTGGGCTCCGTTTTTCCTCCACCGTGCGAGAATCTCGACTTGTACGATGAGAGGGGGAATCTGGTAAGGCAGTCTGGCGCGCAGAATGCGACCGATATAGATTATGATTTTTGAAAATTATGCATGAAAGAACCTTTTTTTTTTTTTTAACCTACACTTATATTGTATTTTTTTGTAATGTAAATATGGTTCTTCATTCTTGAGTTCAAAACCAAGTTTATGTATTTGCAGAGTACAAAGTTTGATGAGTAATTCAATATACATTTAGAAATGGCGGTTTTCATAAAATTTGTGGAGCAGTTTTTAATAAATTTACTTTTTTTTTCTTGTTTATGTTTATTTTTCAATTAGGAACAATATATGTAAAGCCCCACTTTGATTTTTAAAGAAATTTTGGATTTTCCAAAAATCAATTTAACATATTCGAAATTCATTTTTCGAAATCAACATTTAACATGGGCATTATACATCATTTTAAAACATAGATCAAGTCATATTTGATCTCACGGGGATTCATTACCTGGTTTTTCACATGGATTTCATTATCCCAAAACAAGTACCTCAACATGATATTCAAATAACCACATACATCATGAATATCCAAATAACATGTTCCATTAAGAAATGAACTGCATCATCGGGTTTCAAAACAAATCCAGAATCCCAACATTTTCAAAATACAAGTTTGAAAGCAATTCAACATGTCTGAAAAACCAAGCAACAGGTTCATAAAGTCAGACCAACATGATCATAAATCAAATGCGGAAGCAAGATAAACATAAACATATGACCAGTCACTCGTCCTCTCCTCGTCATGCTCGCCACCTGCTCAACCTGAAATGC